TACATGATCACTCAAAAAAAGTTTAGTTGAATCATCCACAGATAAAAGACCAAATGCCTAAAGAAAGCAATTTTTTTTTCCAAACTATGGCAGGGAATTGGATTGACATCCCTTTGAGCTGGTTCATCAGTACATATGTCTTGGATTGGCACTGAATGAACAATGACCCAGGCCCAAAATTGAACAGAAGGAAGAAAGTGAACTGGATTATATTTAGATTTCCTAAGATGCTCCTTGAGACAGAAACCCATCTTTTGAACACTAATATTCTCCTGCTGATATTATATAGCACTGAAATATAGAAGATCACAATCTCAAAAAAACAAAAAAAAAAAATCATGGATGGCCCAAGGCAATAGGGAAATGCTAATGGTGAATTTAAGTGGAAAGTAGCATATGACCAATGACAACTTGGATTTAAGAATTAGCATAGAGGATTTAATCCATGAAATGTGTCATCAGAAAGAAAATGGATACAAGAGTAAGAAAGAACAGATATATCACCCAAACACTACACTGATATCCATGAAGTGTTTAAAAAAAACTAAAAAGAAGGAAAGACTCCTTACATTTTCTTCTATGAAGAATTCACTGGGAAGACATGAAAAAGAATATGACAGTATGAAAAGGCAAGGATAGATTGCAATCATTATTATCAAAGGGAGTATTCACATTGATCAATACTCAATCAATATGACTATTCCCTTTGATGAGAACACAGATCCACTGATTATTGAAATCTAGTTCAAAAGAATCATGACATTTGCAATGTTTTAAAATGAATATTTGGCGAAATAATTATGATGAGTTTATGAATTATAATGATAACTTTTATATATTACATTGGCATTTACAAAGTGCTTTCAAGTATATTTTTCTCAGATCATCAAAATGACAAAGAATAGTACATATTACTAGCACCATTTTAAAGATGAGGAAACAAATTCAAAGAGATTCGGTGATTTACCTACAGTCACACAGCTAATAAGTGTCCAAGACTGAAACTCAGAACTTCTGACTCCATGCTTCGTATGCATTTCATTGTGCCATGCTGCCTCTTAAATAAAAAAAAAATCTTCAAAGGCAAGATAAAAAAAGTATGAGAGTTGTGTTGTGCCTTCAAAACATTTTGCATTGGGTTCTTACAGTATAGACTGTGAAGGGAATTGTTCGAAGAAATGAGATGAAAATTCATGATCTGTCCATTTAATTACCACCCAGTGTACATCTGAGCACTAATGATTTACCATGGAGCATGAACTTCAGAAAGCTGAATATCTTGCCAACTGAACATAAAACCAAGCAATCAAAAATATATATTGATGGTCAAATGGAAGTCCTAGAATACCATATATATTTTCTTCTATGCCATATACAGAATGACTAACAGGCAGCTAGGGCTTTAAGGGCTATATGATTCTATTTATGAATCATAAAACAAAGGTATAGCTCCCTGTATGAAAAAGTTGTTGGACGTCATCAGACCCATGCTTTAAGAAGATTGATTTGACAGCTTAGTGGAGCATGAACTGCAGTAGGAATAGACTTGAGGCAGGGACACCAAACTGAAGGCTATTGCAATAGTTCAATGGCAAGGTGATAAAGGTTTGCCACAGAATGGTGGCAGTTTCAGAGGAGAAAAAGAGGAAAAATACCAGAGATGTTGTAAAGGCAGAATTGGCAGGAATTGGCAACAGATTGGATATGGGGGGTGAAAGTTAGTGAGGAGTTGAAGATGACAGATGGAGGCCTGAGTGTGGTGGCCTTGACAGTAATAAAAGAGTTAGCAAGATGGGCTGGAAAGATGAGTTTGACATGTTGAGTTTAAGATATCTACGGGACATTGAGTTATAGGTGTCCAATAGGCAGTTAGATATTTAAGAATGGAGATTAGTAGAGAGATTAGGATCAAATAGATTTGAGAATCATTGACATAAATGATCTCCCTATATCAATTTCCCAATCCCTATTTTGTAGTGTTATGCACATGTAATTGTTTAATATAAATATTTTTTTCTAATTGAGCACTGTAAAGGGCAGCCTTAGCTCTAGTATTTCTCAGATGATATTATCAGATATCAGATCTAGTATTTCTCAGCATTTCTCAGATGAAAAGGACTTGAGTATAGGGCAAGTGGCGGACTCTGTCTCTTCTTGAGTTCCAGCCTATGTTCAGATGGGCTCATTACCAGAGGATCACCAACCAGGAGATTTGGGGGCAGGGACGGAAGGTGATATATCAACTAACAAAGACTGGCTGCCGAGACATGGAAGGTTGTGTTCAAATCAGTGAAGTACCACACTAATGAAAACATGGATCTTTACAATACAAAGTTTCACCCTTGTAGACACCTCTCTGGATGTATATTTTAAATATGTGTGTAAATATATTTTAATTCATGTACTGAAGTGAACCTATTTGTAAGTGGTAATGGTAGTAGTAGCAGCGGTAATGGTAATCATTATCATCATCACTACCACCATTATCTCTGCCATCTCTAATCCATGTGGAATGAAAAGCTTTCAAAATACAGAGACCTAGAAGAAGAAATAAAAATCATGTGGGAACAGAATGAGGTAGATGCCATCCTGTCCATTACTGGAGTTATTTCAGAAATGCTTTCAGAGAGTTAACTGAAGATGCACTTACATCCTACTTTTATTCAATTACAAAAAGTAGTTTTATCTCCCTGTGCAATAGTCTGCAAAATATTAAATATAAAATAATAATAGCAATAAGAGTGATTTATCCCAGATCCATTTCTATTGAAGCTTCATCTAAAAAAGATGGACACAAGGTCATATATGACATTTGGATCATGCCTTAAAGTTTTCAAAATCTTTTACATAAATTATCTCACTTGAGGTTCACAATAAGCCTATGAAATTTGTAGTATTATTATCCCTATTTAATAGATGGGGAAGCTGAGGATCAAAGAGGTTAAGTGACTCATCAGTTTTTACTTAATTTGATATTTCAATGAATCTGTGGATCTCATCAATGTGAGTACTCTCAATGCAAATGGCAACCCTTCTATGCCAATAGTCACACAACTAGTAACTATTAGAGGCTGAATTTGAATGCAAGTTTTTAATGACTCCAAATCCAACACTCTATTCACCACTGTCACACTACTGTTCTCAACACTTGTAAGGGACCAACTAGTTCTGCCCAAATGCAAAAACAAAACAAAACAAAAAACACCCAAAACCATTTGGACCATGTAAAACAGTTAGAATTATTGGCAATTACTTCAGTTAAGTAAGATAAACAAATTTTAGCTCCAGAGGGAACTAGTCTTACTATCTTTGATTAGCTTTCTATCTAAAAAACAAAATCTTAAAGCCTGAGTGTCTCCCAAACACTTTCATGTTTTTATTGTTCCTCATAATTACAATTGATATTTACATCATTTATAGATTTTCTTCAAAGTCTATTGGAATTTTTTTTACTAATGACAATATTATTTCTAAATTGTAGCAAGATTAATTAATTTTAATAAAATTTCTTTCCTTACAAGGAGCAAAGTGGCATACATCCTGTCATAACTAAAATCTGATTTCAAACTACTATCCATAACTGAGAATTTCAGTTAGAAAATTAATTAAGGCACTTCTTACATTTTTATTGACAATGTTAACCATTTGCTTGCTTAAATTAATACTTGCACACACCTTAAAAATCATTACTGCCTGTCAAAAATATGTTAGGTTTCTCACAGTCATTTTTGAGTTTCACAAGTCTTACATTTTACAACAGGTCTTTTACTCAGTATTTTCATATACACTTGTAATCAAGACACAGGTTCTTAAAAGTTAACATGATTATCCTTCAAAGAACTGTAGATGGATAGGTAGGGGAAAAAATGAGCTCTTACTATGTGACAGGCACTGTACTGAGCTCTAGGATTATAATATAAACAAATAGGACAGTCTCTGTCATCCGGGAGCTTACATTCTAAAGGCAAAAGACAAGACATAAAGGAGAGCTGGAAGAGAGAAAAGAAGGGTATCTAGTTTCAGTTTCCATGGGAGGAGGTGAGGATAATGGCTGGAGTAGAGGCAACATGGTGTGGAAATGACAGGAAATAGCTTGGAGACCAGGTTCTAGGCAAGATAAGGTGAAAACTCACCTATCAGAGCCCAGGGTGATTCTAGGGACAGAGTCCAAATTTCCCTTTGGGAGGAGGTAGAATGAATGAGGAATAGGCAACATTTTTCTTTCTATCAGGACCCCATCCCCTCTCTTACAGATACACCTAATAGCATAGGGAAGGACTTAAAAGTTGCTCAAGACAATTATTGTCACCTCGTTATACAGCAACACTCCTCCTCAATCCTTTGCCTAGGGAAGGGTTTGCCTTATTCAAAAGAAATAATAAAATAGTTTGGAAAAAGAGAGAGAACTGTATATTAAGAAGAAGAAATACAGGAAGGGAAAGCATAATAGAGGATATTTGGATGACAATCATTAGATACAGAACCAGAAGCAATATAGGTATCACAGTAGATTTATGAGTCATCTGCGTTAATATTATACTATCATATTACACAATATAGTATAGCATAGTATAATACAGTATAGTAACTATACCCATGGAAACTACAGAGGGCCTGGGGAAAGCCTTATAGGGTACCAACATTTAGTGGGCAGGAGAAGGATTATGATCCACCAAAGAAGAACAAAAAGAAGATCTGAGAGATAAGAGGAATAAAAAGAGAAAACTGCCACGGAAGGCAAGGTAGGGGAGAGTATACAGGAAAAGAAGGTTCTTAGAGTATCAAAAACTATAGACAGTCCAAGTAGAATGAGAATTAATAAAAAGTCACTGGATTAGCAATTAAAACACCAATGGAAAGAGCAATTTCAGTTGAGTGGTGGGTATGGAAGTAAAATTACACATCTGTAAGATACATTCAATACAGAGGAATAAAACATAGGCACCAAAGGAAAGCCACCAAGTAACCACCTGACCTGCTCAGCTACCTGGAAGTCTCACCTGACTCTGCAGCTCTTCCTTCTGAAAATACAGTCAGCACTGCAGTTTGAAGCCCAGGTCAGCTTTTATGGATAAGCTAAAGGTAGCTTTTGAGGACTCTCTGGGCTAGCTTGCCTAATGCCTCAAAGGGTCACTGAGATTGATGCCCTCATCAGGCTAATTGGCAACAGCTGCTAAGTCAGATAATCTCTGACTTCCTCATTGGATAACAGTATCTCCCCCCTTCTCTTTCCTCGGATGGGTTGTGTGATTTGGCTTCTCTTCATGTACCTGAAGGGAACTGGCTCATACTGATAAGAGCATAGACATCTCTCACATGTTCACTGGTGTGCAATGTGGTTGTCAATATCTTTACAACCACATGTTATCAGTCAGCTGTTTTTCCACTTATTGCTAGCTATTTTTCCTAAAACCAGGTGTTCTGGATGATTAAAGTCCAAAATGGCACATCTAAGGCAACAATGCCCAGCATTCTTTTTCCATGGCTCTTTCTTTTTGTCCTTCTGTTAAGAGGCTAGCTAATGCTGGAGGCCATTCCAATTATTCCTCCTGCCTCCTCTCAGAGTTTTGCTAAGTGGGGCCAACTCCTCCGTTTTCCTTTATGTCTGTGTCATCCCTGCCTAAAGCTGAGGTTTATTTAAAAGCCCCAACCACCTGGACCTTCTCTCCCTTGTAAACAAGGACCCCTAGATCACCCTCAGGATCCGGTAGCAGTATGGTCCCTCAAAGTCTGGGAGTAGTGATTGTCTAACCGTTCTCCTTGAGTTAGCTTGTCTAATGCCTCCAGCTGTTATTTAGGAGGCTCTGAAGCTTTTATCCTCATCAGTCAAGTTCAGAGAAAGTATATAGATCCACACCAGTCATAGCAGGGGTTGGCTATCTGAACCTTTGCAACTTAAACAAAATTTCTCCAGAGCTTACGTTGACCAAGTCCAATCCCAAAGTTATTCTACTTCCCTGGTCACCTGAACCTCCTCAGGTGAGAAGACCTCGTACCACTCCCTTTGTGTAAAGTCTACCACTTCCTACTGTTGTCTCATTGTCAGACTTCTCAGGTGACACCTTAGACTGCTAGTACCTTGAGCCTTCCATCTTCTACTGGGAGCAACGTGTCCCCTGAAGCCAGACCAGACTTACTGTATCTGCCCCCAAAGTAACCATTTCCAGCGATGCCAGCACAAGGCAACTTTCACATCATGCTGCCAGCCCAACCTCCTAAATGGAATGTGGAGAATCTCTGATGCAGAAAAATGCAACCCACCCTTGGATTTCAGGCCTCCCGTATCCTGCTTCACCCATCCTTTGAAGGTAGAGGAATGGCACCCTCTACTCAATAGTGAACATTCTCATATCATACCCTTCATATCCCTGTGACTTTGAACTCCTGCAGATCATCACCCAAGCCTCATTCCACATCCCCTACCATCCTATTCCTCATTTTCATCCCCCTCAACCCACCCAGCCCAAAGTCTCAACTCCACCCAGTTCTTCAATCCCCACTCTTTTGCTCATCTATTCTCCTTGTCTACTGGCTTATTGCCAACTGCCTACAAACATGCCCATATCTCCTATATCCTGAAAAAAAAATCTCACTTGATCCTTCCATCCCTGCTAACTATCATCCTACATCTCTTCTGCCTTTTGTAGCTACACTCCTCAAAAAGTCCATTTACAGCAGGTACCTCCACTTTCTCTTTTCTCACTATCTTCTTAACTCCTGGTTAATCTGGTTTCTGACCTTTTCATTCCACTAAAACTGCTGTCTCCAAAGCTACTAATGAGTTCTTAGTTGCCAAATCCAATGACCTTTCTCAGTCCTCATTCTTCTTGAGCTCTCTGGAGCCTTTGACATTGTTGATCAGTTTAACCTCCTTCATACTCTCTTCTCTCTAGATTTTTCAGGACACCACTCTATCCTGGTTCTCCTCTTACCTATCAGACCACTCCTCATCCATCTCTTTTGCTAAATCCCTATGAAGGTCACAGTCTCTAACCATAGGTTTCTCTCGGAGTTTTGCACTGGGTCCTCTTCTCTTCTCCACTATACTGTTTCAGTTAGTGAGCATCAGGTCCTATGGATTTAATTGCCATTTCTATGCTAATAATTCTCAGATCTATCTGTCCTGTCCCAATCTGTCTGCTGATCTCCAATCTAATATCTCCAACTATCTTTCAGACATCTCGAACCACATGGCTAGTAGACACCTTAAACTCAGTATGTCCAAAACAAAACTCATTATGTTTTCCCCTAAATCCTTTCCCATCTCAAGTTTACTATTATTTCCCTATTACTATAGAAGGCAATACCATCCTCTCAGGCACTCAGATTCACAATTTAGGAATCTTCCTGGATTCTTCATTATCTCTCCTATGTCCAATCTGTTGCCATGGCCTGATGATTTCACCTTTGAAATACCTCTCATATATGTATTTCATATCAATTCCCCTCTCTCCTGTAATACTGCCACCCTTCTAGAGAAGACCCTGACTATCTCACACTTAGATTATTGCAACGGACTGCTATTGGGTCTGCCTGCCTCACTCTAGTCATCCTCCATTCAACAACTAAAATGATTTTGCAGATCATATCACCCTCCTACTCAATAAACTCCGATGATTTCCTATTGCCTCCAGGAGAAAATACAAAATTATGTTTGGCATTCAAAGACCTTTGTAACATAGTCCCTCCCTACCTTTCCAGTCTTCTCATACCTTAATCCCCAACACATACTCTTTGATCTAGTGATATTGGCCTCCATAAACAAGACATCCCATGTCTTTGCTCCAGAAATTTCCCCTGGTTGTCCCCCTTGCCTGGAATGCTCTCTCTCTTCCACACTGACTACTGACCCCCTGGCTTCCTGTAAATCCCAATTAAAATCTTACCTTCTATAGAAAGCCTCCCCCAACTCTTCTTAATTCCAGTGCCATCCTGCTGTTAATTATTTCCTAGATATCTGTAAACAGCTTTCTTTGTATATATTTGTTTGCGTGTTGCAACCCCCATTAGACTGTAAGCTCTTTGAAGGCAGGGACTGTCTTTTGCCTCTTTTCATATACCTAGTGCTTAACACAGTGCCTGGAACATAGTAGGTGCTTAATAAATGTTTATTGATTGATTGCTTAAATGGTCAGTGGGAGAATTTCTTCCCACAACCATCCTCCTCTCAAAGGTTTCCATAATCTTCTGGAATGATAAAGTCCTACTCAATCACCTAACAAGAGAGTCTATGTCAATTCAGTGCAATTCCATTCAAGAGACATTTATTAAAAGCCTACTATGTGCCAGGAACTGTACTAGATGATGGACATACAAAAACAAAAATAAAAGGCTCTGCCCCTCTAGGAGCTTACACTCAACTTTGAAAGGGGGAGCATAAACACAGATAAGCAAACACAAAATATACACAAAGTAAAATGAGCACAAATTCCTCAGGCTCCAGAAACAATCAGGGCTTGTGCTGATACAGCTTGCATTGGAACCTAACCATTGGCACCAAGTCAACACTCCCTGTAAGATCCTCTAGAGTTACAAGGAGGGTGGGATATTTTCTATAATATGTAGCTGTGTCTCTCTGTTACAGGCACATCTTATATAATAGAGAAGCTTCAGAATGAATGAACTAAAAAGAATTTATTAAGTGCTTAGATCAAGAATGCTGTTGTCTTTGATCTTATGATTCCATGTCTTGAGCACTCCAGTATCTTATAACATAACCCAAGACTGCACAAGACTTTCCCCAGGAAAATACAGGCAACACAGAAAACATGGCAAGTCGCACAGGAAAACACATGGAAATCACCACCCAGGAAATCAGGCTTACTAGAGCACTGATGTTCCATTTCACAAAGGACTCACCTAGTTCCTGACTCTGAGGCCACCTTTATCCATGTAACCACAAATCCTCTCACAAGATATGTACAAATATGTAAACGAAACAATCTATGACATTTGAGGTACCAAGTTTTCCTCAATGTAATTAAACAAACATTTGTTAAGTACCTACTATGTGCTTCAAGTTTCTGCAAGACACAACACAAAGATGAAGAGGAAAGAGTTTCTGCCCTCATGGAGCTTATCTTCTACTTGGCATTGGGGGAGTGATATAACATATATTCAGAGAAGTTAATACAAGACAGTATGAGGAGTAGGTAAAGTAGAAGCAATGGAGATCAAGAAAAGCTTCTCATAGGAAACGGTATTTGAAATGATCCTTGAAAGGAGAGGAAATGCAGAGTTCAGGGAACAGGGAGTATGCCAATTTGACTGGAATAATGATAATAATAATAGCATTTATATAAGCTTTGAAATTTTCAAAGCGCTTTACAGATGGTGTTGCATTTTATCCTCATAACAACACTGGGAAGTAGGAGCTATTATTACCCCCATTTTACACACGAAGACAATAAGGCAGACACAAGTGAAGTGACTCACCCAGTCACACAGCTAGTCAATGCGTAAGTCCACACTCGAACTCAGGTCTTCTTAATGTCAGGTCCAGTGCTCTATTCCCTGCACCATCTAATTGCTGGAAGGAAAATAATGTAAGATAAGTATGGAAAGCTAGGCCAGAACCAGTGATGGGCTTTTAAATATAAAGCTGAGGAGTTTGTATTTTATCTTAAAGGTAATTGGAGGCTACCAAAAGTTCTTGAATAGATGAGTGGCATGGTCATCTCTAAACCTGAAAAAGATTGTTTTGGCAGATTGTTTTGAGGGTATTGGAAGCAGAGAAACTGGAAGCAGGAAGCCCAATTAGGAGGTTGTTAAAATAGTCCAGAAGAGAGATGATGAAATTCTGAACTGGGAAGACGGTCATGTAAGTCAGTCAAATAGTTAATAAACATTTATTAAGTTCCTACTATGTACCAGAACTTTGCTAAACTCTGGAGATGCAAAGAAAGGTGAATGACAGCCCTAGCTCTCAAAGACTCATAGTCTAATGAAGGAGAGAGCATGCTATGCATCAACTATGTACCAGCAAGCTACAGTCAGGATACATTGGAAATAATCAACAGACAAAAGGTACTGGAAATTAAGTGGGATTGAAAAAGGTTTCCTGTAAAAACAGTAAGAGTTTATCTGGGACTTGAAGG